GGGGGAGGGTCGCAACCTTATGGGGATGTTTGCCAACTTGCAGGGCTTTTTGCAACCTTATAGGGTGCACTGCAAGCTTGTAGGATGCTTTGCAACTTTTTAGGGTGTATGCAGCCTTTTAGGGTATTTGCAACCATCCACAAGAATTTTAAGGCATTTTAGGGCCACTTAGGGGGGCTATGCAACCTCTTAGAGTCTTTGCAACCTTTTAGGGCGCTTTGCAACCTTATAGGGTGTTTGCAGCTTTATAGGGTCTTTGCAACTTTGAGGGTTGCTTTGTAACCATGTAGGGCCTTTTGCAACCTTATAGGGCCTTTTGCAACGTTATAGGGCCTTTGCAACCTTATAGGGCCTTTGCAACCTTGTAGAGCGCTTTGCGACGTTTGAGGGCACTTCACAACCTTTTAGGGTCTTTGCAACCTTATAGAGTCTTCGTGAACCTTCTGGATGTTTGCAGCTTTGTAGGGTATTTGTAGCCAGTGGGACTTCCTGGCTCTGGGCTCATCGTTCTGGGAGCACTGACCGGGGAGGGGTTTTGGGGTGAAACCAGGTGGAAATGGGAGGGTGTGAGCTCGCTACTCCTGTTCTGTGTATGGCACTGGTAGAATTCACTGTGCAACCCCGCGGTCAGTGAATTACCATAGGGCCATAAACAGAGCAGAGAAAGACCCGCGAGCCCCGCGGGGCCGCCGTGCCGCCCGGCCCGCTTTGGCACTAGCACATTTTTGCTTTGCTTTATGTGTTTTGAGCAATTATGTGTAGTGCCAATATGGGAGAAGGCGGAGAGAGCACCATGGGATGGGAGGGGATGTGGTATTTTTTGCCATTTTCCCATTGCACGACCCCAAGGGATGGATGGATTTGGTGATGGAGGGATGGGTTTGGCAAAAGAAGGATTTGGCAATGGACTGATGGATTTGGTGATGGATGGATGGATTTGGTGATGGATGGATGGATTTGGGATGGATAGACTTGGTGATGGATGGATGGATTTGGTGATGGATGGATGGATTTGGTGATGGAGGGATTTGGTGATGGATGGATGGATTTGGTGATGGATGGGTTTGGGATGGATGGATTTAATGATGGATGGCTGGATTTGGGATGGATGGATGGATTTGGTTACGGACGGATGGATTTGATGATGTGGATGGATGGATTTGGTGATGGATGGATTTGGTTATGGATGGATGGATTTGGGATGGATGGATGGATTTGGGATGGATGGATCTGGTGATGAATGGATGGATTTGGTGATGGATGGATTTGATGATGGATGGATGGATTTGGGATGGCTGGATTTGATGATGGATGGATGGATTTGATGATGGATTGCTGGATTTGATGATGGATGGATGGATTTGATGATGAATAGACTTGTCAATGGATGGATTTGGGATGGATGGATGGATTTGGGATGGATGGATTTGGTGATGGATGGATTTGATGATGGATGGCTGGATTTGATGATGGATGGATGGATTTGGGATGAATAGACTTGTCAATGGATGGATTTGGGATGGATGGATTTGATGATGGAGAGATGAAGAGAGATTTAGTGGGAGCTATTGGGAATAGGTGAACGGTTGGACTGGATGATCTTTTAGGTCTCTTCCAACCTTGGTGATTCTATGATTCTATGATTCTATGATTCTATGATTCTATGATTCT